CAGCTCTGAGCCGACAGCGGGATTTGTAAGATACAAATCCACCCGGAGCAAGAGCTTACAACTTACAGTAAAAACACAGACACCGAGGAAACTTTGATGTATTTCAGCAAGAAGAGGCGTATGCAAAAGTTTTATTTGACTTAGTTGTTGGGGGGTTTTTTTAATTAGAAAAAGACAAGCTTTTACAAATTGCTTCTTTTGCCCAGATTTCAGGGTCTGTTTTGCAGCCTGCCTGCTGCAGCACTTCCACATTTTCAGCGGACTTCCCCGAGGCTGAAAGCATCGCAGGGGCTGAAAGCATCGCAGGGGGCTGGGGACAGCGAAGCAGAAGTGGTACCTGCTTTGCTCCCTGCAGCTTTTAAGTTGTCGCTGTAAAACAACAGCATCTCACCACTCCTTGGGAAATTACACATCCCTTTTCCTATGGCAGCTGTCACAACCTGAGAAGCAAATACTAAAAGCCTTGATAGCAGGGAAAAACTCGGGATTTTCTGCATGACCAGATGGGTGACGTTACCAATTTCGCCAGCAATTCTCTAAGCACAGTCTGCAAAAGAGCAGATAGAAAAGATGCATTTTACGGGTCAGCAGGAGACCGACACGACCCGGGTCGTCCTCTGAGAACAAGGGCAGCACTCAGGTGGGTCAGGGAGAACAGAGGACCAAGAGGAAGAAAACTCCAGGAGAAGAAGAACAAGGTTAAGGGCAAGTTTGAAAGCATGAAGGGAATAGAAAGTCCACGTGTCGGTGAGCTCTGGGGCAGCAGAAGGAAGACCTTCCGTGCTGGAAGCACGTGCTCCCACAGCACAGCTCCCGTCCCAGGGAGGTGACCACCCCTGCCCCGGGCAGGAGGCCAGCAATGCCTGCACCTGCCTCAGCGGTGGCTTGCAGGAATCTGAAAAGGCAGACCAGTATTCTGTGCCTCTGGGCTGACGCAAGCGTCTCCACCCCTTCACTTGGAAGGACACTTCCGATTAACTGAAACAGGATCACAAAAGCCAACGGCCCAAACGGGTCAAGTCACAGCCTTCAGAGCAAAGCTTTCTGCTGGGCAGGGGACTCGGCCATGTTGCTGCTCTGACCAAGCTTGGTCACACATCACCCACAACCAGCAAGGGCACAACAGCACAGAGAAGAGACGCTAACCACAGCACTCAGCAGAAGACACCTTTTCAATTCTAAACTCAACAAACCTTGTCTAGATAAGGATCCGTGGCCACGTTAATCACTCCCCCAGCACAACTCCCAGTCCTACTTTGGTTGAACTCCAGGTCATGCTAAATAACCTGGGCAGAGCCACGTATGGCGTCCTCATACAATGGTTCAGGCCACTTCACGAGGCCACGTCACCTCAGTAAATCACAGGCCACTGTTAAAATCCAACCAGCTACGGACCCGCTCCCCTGACCCACAGCCTCGCTCCACTTCTTGTGGGAACATATGTGGGGCATCTCACCGAGAGGTCCTGTCACAGTGGGAGGAGGAACCCCAAAAGTAGGAGCTCGTGTGCACAGGTCCCCAAGCAGCAGGACGTAAGGCTGCTGGCCCTGCAGGTCCCTGAGCACGGCAAAGGGTGGGAGCATCTCCCCAAATGGCCTCTCCGCTCTTCTTGGACAGCTTCTGGAAATTCAGGTGCCCTAAACATAGGGTGGAAACACAACCTCCGGCCCCAGTGTGCGGGATGCAAGGCTCCTGACCAGTGCAAAGCCTGGTCTATGCTGCCCCAAGTCCCCACTCTCAGCCCTGGAGCAGGTAAGCGGGACTTGCTGGTGCTCGGTGACATGGTTTCGAGGCCGCTTGGCATGTGGTAGCCCCCGACCCCGCCAGCTTCACCCGTGCTGCAACCGCCCTGCGAGGCTGCCTGGGAAAACCCAACCAGTTCCTCACTGCCGGAGACTTCTGAGTAACGCTGCCCTCAATATCTAGGGTTTGGAAAACAACCAACCCTCCCTCCAGCAACACCCAGACAATGCTCAGCATGGGGCGAGCCAGGACGGGACACGCAGCCCGACCGTCCCAGCGAGACGGGAGCATCCGACTGCAGCTGGGAGGGGATGCGGCGTGTTTCCCCGCATCCCCGCACCCCTTCGCCCACGCGGATGCCCACGAAACGAGCCCTGCCGCAGCCCCTCGGCCAGGGGCCACTAGGCACCGGAGAAGGTAACGGTGGGATGCCAGTCCCCGCTGCCGGCGCCCACGCTCGCTGCACCCTCGGGCCGTCACCCGAAGGGAGTGAGAAAGGGCAGCGCGACGCCCCGCGAGTCGAAGGGGACGGCGGTGCCACGAAGGCAGGCGGCTGGGCGCAGCCCA